TAGCTCCTGGCATTTCTACTAGGAGCAAGAAGCTACTAGTAACTAGTAACAAAGGGCATCGCTACTAGGGCAAGAAGCTACTAGTAGCTCCTGGCATTTCTACTAGGAGCAAGAATCTACCAGTAACAAAGGGCATCGCTACTAGCAACAAGGGCATCGCTACTAGTAGCAAGGACGCTACTAATCCCGTGGATATAGTGGGTGGTAGAACTCATAACTGCGGCAATGACCAACCAACCCCCTTTGTGCTGAAAAAACAATACACCAAACTGGGTGTCATTGGTGTGCTGTGACATGCTATAACCAACCTATGACACCGGGTTCTTCAAAAAAAGCCATCTACCTCATCTACCTCTGAACCATTCTCCCCTTCTCCATGACCCCTGGACCCCCAACTTCAAATTTGTCTGACATCTCTCCATGCTGAGGCCTTCAAAAAGACCAGCCATATTGGTTGAAGTTGTGGGGAAGTACATACCAACATTGATGTTGGAGGTTCAAGGGGGGTGTTTGCCAGAGTTGCATGGCTGTTATTTTTTCAAGAACCCTGTATACATGGATGCAGAGATACTTGAGAGCTGGCTTGAGGGTGGGAGATCCAAAGTCCACAGAAACCACAAATTGTTCTAGTCTGCGGTTTCTTCCCTTCAGCCATGGGGCAATGAACAATAACAACTTCCAAAAACATTCAACAATTGAGGCTTATTAGGTTGGAGGCGATCGCTATCAGGTTGGTGGCCATTGCTACTAGCTTGGAGGCCATTGCTATTAGCTTGGAGGCCATTGCCATTAGCTTGGAGGCCATTGCTATTAGGTTGGAGGACATTGCTATTAGCTTGGAGGCCATTGATATTGGCTTGGAGGCCACTGCTATTGTATAGGTTGGAGGCAATTCCTATTGGCTTGGAGGCCGTTGCTGCTAGCTTGGAGGCCATTGCTATTAGGTTGGAGGCCAGTGCTATTATATGTATATATAATATATGTTGGAGGCAATTGCTATTAGCTTGGAGGCCAATGCTGCTAGCTTGGAGGCCATAGGCCATTGCTATTAGGTTGGAGGCCATTGCTATTATATAGAAGCTTGGAGGCCATTGCTATTGGCTTGGAGGCCATTGCTGCTAGCTTGGAGGCCATTGCTATTAGGTTGGCTTCTTCTGTGCCCAAGCCACTCAGCAGGTCTCGGGTCAACGGCAGACGTCGCTCCATCTGCAGATCATACCAGTAGTCGTCGGCCCAAAAGCCCGACGGCGCGATGAAGAGGAGGTTCCGGGTCCTGTGGTGAACAACGATCATTGGCCCAAAACCCAAAGCGACTCGGGTAGGGTGCGACAATTAATTCAAAATCAAGGGGAACCAATTTAGTAGCAAGAAACTACTAGGAACAAAGGGCATCGGAGCAAGAAGCCACTAGTAGCTCGTGGCCATACTACCAGTAGCAAGAAGCTACTAGCAAAGTGGTCTATGATTGTCATGGGTAGTGAGTGTTCATGTTCTTGAGTCGGACCCAGTTGACTCTACTTAGTCATGCTTCAATCCTGGTTGAAAAACGAATGTCCAGTGCTGATCTGGAAATAAAGCACCGGCCACCTCTGCTCACAGGCATTAAACCGCCAAAGAGCTGACTTGCTCCTCTCTCAGCCCCCCCCACAGCGGATCAGAAAACACAAGAATGTCAGTCCCAGGATTATATACATATGTATATATATACGAAAACAAATATATAAGTTACAGATAGTTACAGTACATGTTTTATCATAAATTATGCTAAAGCTTAAAGCTGGCGCTGAAGCCGCAAATTCTTATCATATCTTATCATAACAGTTGTTGTCTTGCTCTGTTGTTGCTGCATGAGCATGAAATCAACACTTGTGTGTGTGTGTTGGTCTTTCTCGAAAGGGACCAGGTTGGGGTACCTAATCGAAGCCATTGGTGGGGGTGAGACGTCCAGCAGAAAGATCAGAAAAACGAAACCCAACAATTCAACCCATGGGTGCCAGTGTTTGCATGTGCTTACAAGGCAAATGATTGTCCATGCAGTGCTACTACTTTTCAGTCTCTTCGGACCTTGGTAGTATGACTCGAACCAAAGCTGATCAAATCCCGTCACCCTTCTGGGCAGCCCCCCATAGACCACTTGGGATTTGAGCCAAGCAGATTATCGAGGAAAATCGAACTCGCCCGGCACTCATCCCAGCTGATCCAAGCATCCAGCTCGACTCCGCCACGGTTTTGGCCGAGGCTTCGCAGTGGGACACCCCGACATGCCTCGACCTGGCCGATCTCAGAGCCAAAGGCAAAGCTCTTTCCCAGACAAGCTTACGCACGTTTTAAACATGATTTCAAGAAGAACCCCGGTGTCCGGTCACACCCACAGAAGCGCGGCTGTTCTCCTTGCAGCCGAAATGTTGGGCCTCAAGTGCCTGTAGGGGATTTTGGACCACAGGCCAGCGCTTGCGATTGAGTATGGCGCGCGTGAAACCGGGCTGCTGCCTCCTCCATGGCCAACCCACAACTCCTGCCAGCGCGACCCACCGCGCGGTGGAAGAGCTAACAAGGCGAGGCAGCGTCCGCGCCATAGCGTCGGGGGCTTCGCTCGAGCGGTGTCGTTATTGCATGTTCTTTGGTGACCCTCAAATGAACAGCTGGTCAATGTCATGTTTGATGTCAGGTACAGCCGGTACAGGTACTTGATCTGTATTTGGGGGCTCTGTGGGAGTCGGCAAGGGGACTGAGCTATATATAACTGATGTGACCCTGCTTTTGGCCTTGAACAACTCAACTCACGATCAATCTGAGGCTAGGGGGACTGGAACAGTAACAACTTGCGCCAAAAAAGAGGCCCCTCATGCCGGTGCATGACTCATACTCATCTGAGCCTTGGTCAAGATGGGCTGAAGTGGTGTGCAGGACGAAGCCCTGAGAATTGGCCCATTAGCTGCCACTGGCGTGTGATCATTTTCAGGGCACTGCTACGACCTGCGCCCCTGACGCTGCCCGAGAATTGCATGTTGGAGGCCATCGTTATTAGCTTCCTTTTGTTGTTAGATAGTAGCGATGCCCTTTGTTACTAGTAGCTACGTGTTCCTAGTAGTACGGCCAGGAGCCCCTAGTAGCGTCCTTGCTCCTAGTAGTAAGGCCAGGAGCCCCTAATAGCTTCCTTTTGTTATTGGAGGCCGAAAACTGCAATTCTTTTTACTGTAAGTTGTATCAAAACTGCCTCGGTACGTCGAAGCATTGGCCCTGAGCTCACCACGACTCGTGCGCCGTGCGCTCAACTCGGTGTCACCCCTGGTGCGAGGCTCGCGAGGCTCGCCAGGCGCACTGAAACCAGTGGTGTGTGTGTGTGTGAAGCCGAAATCAACAAGGTTGGAGCCCCTGACTTAGACCTATAAATTCAGAAACAATTCTTGTACCTAGCCTAGAGGTCTCCCCATTTAGAGAAGGAATAGCAGGATGGTTTTTGGACGTATTTCTGCTTTCACAAAGCTTATTTGGTATTGGGGGGGCCCGGGGGCATCGCTATAGATACGGTACAAAATCAATCAAAATCATACAAATATCAGTTGGGTCAACCAGGGATCGCATGAAAATATCAACGGTGTCCATGACGTTCATGTTCTGGGTATGCCAACTGGTGTGGTCCAAAGACCGAATCCAAGAGGTGGCCCCCCACCAGGAAGATCTCGAAAACAGCTCTGCCAAAGGGAAATAGGCAGTGGGTCGTGGGTCATGCCTTTGGTAACCTAGCTTCGTATAGAGCATTCTCAAAACCCATGAGCCACCCAAACTCGTGAAGGTATCAGCAGCCACTGTAGCAGTGAAAAGAAAATAGATTGGATCTCATTGGTGCGGAGATCTCCCTATTCCTGTTTACACCCACAGGCGTTGTTTGGTCAGACCGCTCCACGCTCCAGCGCATCGGCCTGGCGGTGCTGGACTCCTGCTGGTCCTGCGCATGCTTTCGTGGCGGGAGATTGGGAGATGAGTAGTGCATGACCGCATCCACAAACAGCCGAGAAGAAGGTGCAAACATGTACCTGGTCCTGGTTTCATATTATACGGCATGTATTGGAGACCATTAATTTATTCTGTATTTGTTTGGGGGGATTGACCTCTTTCAAGGAGATGAAGACCCACCACCAGCCACTACTAAAACGGAAGTCTGCTAGAGGGTGAAGAATGGGTCTTTTATCACAGGCCCTAACAGAGCCTTGGGCACCTGAAGCAAGACCGTTGATGAACTCATGCTCAAACCATATAGGTTGCTGTATGCACATTTGATTCAAAGGACCAAAAGGATGGACGTCGGCAGCATTCTACCCAACCAACCTCTAGGAAAACTATATAATATTTGTTTTAATATGAACATGAACATGTGAACGTGATAGCTCGACACTGAACGATGTCTGGATGTCACCATGTTGATCCACAAAACCGCTCCTTTAATCAACAAATGGGGGGTCCATGCTACCTCACCAAGCCACTGCTGCCCTGGGTCGCCTCAACCATCAGCAGTGCGGCGCCCAACAGGACGATGCCAAAGGCAGGGCCTGGCAGTAGAACCCCAATTCTCACCCGATGAGCGGAGAAGATGGAAGGGATGGGACCGGGATGCGGGTCTGCACAGCTACTAGCAGCGTTCTTGCTACTAGTAGTAACGCCCTTGTTACTAGTAGCAATGCACCTTGCTACTAGTATCTATTTGCTACTACTCTTGAAAGATTTGAAGATTCCCTGAATTTTTGCAAACTACTTGGTGGAACAGGTGATCAGGCCATTGTTTGGGTGAAGGAGAGTCGTCTGCATGGGAAAACTGGCAACTTCAAAGTTCAGTGCTAAGATCTTCATGGTCCATGGCCTGATACAAGGACTGGGTGACTAGTGTGAAGAGAATTTGTGACTCGTGTGACACCGTGTGACCTTTTTCCAGATGCGTGAACAGTGCGCTGGCACTTGCAAGTACGGTGCCAAACGTGTTTCGCCTGTTTCGCCCAGATTGATCACCCTTGTGCCCCACCTCGACCCTCCATACATCCATAGAGGAAAAGCATCCGAAGAAGCCCACTTGACACTCCACATATTCCTACTTTATGGCCTACAGAATCCTACAGATGGTGTGGCGGGAGAAAGTCTATCCATCTGAGTTACAGTCAGTTACAATTTGGATGCACCGGCCGCGTCGTTTCCTGAGCATCCGCACCGAAGAGAAGCGTCCTGAGGCCCACCGCGTAGTCGCAGCCTTGCAGAAGAATGATTTTGGGTGATGACTTCTGACATCTTTATGACAAAACCGAAAAATGTCCAGGGTCTGGATAACTGCTCTCGGTTTATCAAGGAGATAATGACTTATGACAAAACCGAAAGCAGTATCTTTATCTTGGAGTTGTGGAGATGTTGAACTTGGTGACGAAGTGCGGTGGCCATTTGGCCAACCACCTGACATGCACTCTGCGCCACCAAAAAAACTCCCATGTCATTTGCATTTGGCAGATTTGAGGGTCCCAAATGTCCATATGCAATAAATTTCAATAAATGGTATCTACAACGATCTGCCAACAACATCTGACAGCTTGAGAACTTCCATGAGTATCAGGGACATCTGGTCCGTTTCGAGCACAGTCATGTTCTCTTTGAAAGCCAGCTGCACCAAAGCCCACCAACTCATTGAATCACCCTGTTACTGTTGGTGCCACACTCCTGTCCACACTCCTGTCCACACTCCTGTCACACGCTGGACTCTGTCAAAGTCAAATCATGGTCCAAGCCGACATCCAAGACAAGAAGCTGCTAGGGGCTCCTGGCATCGATATTAGGAGCAAGGACGCTACTAGGGGCTCCTGGCCTTACTACTAGGAGCAAGAAGCTACTAGCGGCTCCTGGCATCGCTAGTAGGAACAAGAAGCTACTAGGGGCTCCTGGCATGTCACACCCACAGGTGGGTGAACACCAGTCAGCTGAACCTCAGCACAGTTTCCAAGGATGTTCTTCCCGGACCCGCATCTGACTTCAGATGCATCTGAATCCGACAAACAGATGTTGACGCACTCACCCAAAAATGACGGGCCAGCACCAAAGTCATGACCATTCAGCAACTCCCACGTTTCTTAAACCTTTCACCGCTTTCACCTCCCCCCCTGCCTTGATTGCAGGGCTGTGACGTCTCGGGCGGCTCGCAACCGGCGATCCAGCCCGGGACAAAAGCACCTTGCATGGGCGATCCAGGACGAATCAAACCTATGGGCCCAGAATGGCCCAGGAGCCAAAACAAATACAGTACAAATCATGGAACAAACGTCACCTGGTGGAGTAATGATGAAAGTCACTTTTGATGTTCTCCTTTCGCGGTCTGTCAGGCCCTCAGATTCAACCCGCTGCTTCAGTTTTGGCAACTTTCATCTGTTAATGATCAAAACCTCAGAAGCCATATGAAGCCAAAGGACTTGCAGCCACGCGTCAACTCCTTCCAAGGCACCCCTTTCTTCTTTCTCATCATCAAAAAGGAGTCGAATGCACAACAAGGTAGAAAGTATATAGAAATTAGATTTTGCTGTGTCATTGACCTATCGTAGGCATGCAACGATATTCCTGTTGGCAGCCTCGAAATGGATGTAGACCCATTTCTAAACTGTACACTTCGTCGGACTCTTCGTTGGATACACGGTCGTTTCAATGGGCGTTGGATTCTGCAAAACACCTGCCGTCAAAGCGCCGTCAAACATCTGGTCTCAAGCTGTTGAATCTCCCACCGTTGGTACGCCCTGGCTGCGAGTCCAGGCTGCTCTCATGTCAACCTTCTAAAGCCCCGGGTGAGAAACCGACCAACCAACCAATTCCAACCACGAAACCGACCAACCCACAAAAAAGGACCTCCTCAAAACCCCCGGGTCAGAAACTCAGCATCCTCGAAATGCATCCATGATCCGGCAAGGCACCGCCGGCCATGCCCAGCAAGTTGATCGGAAGTTGCGCCAGCGCCGAAGCCAAGGGCCTCCGGTGCCCGTGCACCGCGCCCAACCTCGGATTGGTTTCCCGAGACGATCACGGTGGGAGACGATGAGGTTTTCAGAAAGGGTGCAAATCCAAGGGAAGACTTGAAAGAACGATAATGTCAAGTTGCCAAGCTCGCTTTGACTTTGTTTCACAATTAAAAACATAATATACCTTATATAATCCGTAATCATTAAAACAAATATATATATATATACACCATGTTATGGTTTTAACCCATGCATCATCTTTTAATTGAACGTTTTGAAATTGATGGCTTTTGCTTGGTGCGGTCAGAGGGGAGCTTGGTGGATTGACCAGGTCATCAGGCTGGGTCTTGCATGTCAGGGTTGATATAGACCGGTGTTTCTTTATGTTTCGTGTTTCATCGTGTTTCGTGAGGTTGGGGCAAGAAGTGTTCAACCATCTATCGTTTCAACTGCTGAACAGGTGGTTTGAAATGGTTTGCATGGAGCCCCCACCTAAAGTGCTGCATAGTTTGTCAACCTCTCAAACTCCACTCCTGGGGCTCAATGGAACATCGCACCTTCACACATCTTCACACTTCACACACTTATGGATATGCATACGGAACGGAAAGCGGTGCCACACGCCGGCCTAGGGTTCCATTTCCTAAGAGTACCAGTAGGGAACCAGCGAATCCTGGGGGTCTTCAAACGGAGAAGTGGCCCAAAAAGGAAAGAAACGAACGACGATCGCGAGTCGAACAAGATGACGGCGGTCCGTGCACATCTGCAAAAAACGAACCAAAGCCATGTCTTGAGGTTCTGGGCTTAGCCTCGCGCCATTCCGTTTGAAAAAGGCAGGTACGTAGTTCTGGCGTCCCAGAACTATATCACTGTGCGACAGATGCGTCTTCGTTGGCTAGAGACATCTGAAGCACACTCCAGCCCCCTGCTGACTAAAACAATTCGAAAGAATCCCTGTGACTACAAGGGTTACACACACACGCCTCCCCGAGGGGAGGCAAGGTTTTTAAGCTCCGCGCCGAGGGTTGGGTGAGACTAGGTGAACTGACGGAGCTCACGGTAGGTCCCCTGTTCCAAACCTCAAGGTTCCCTTTGATTCCAAGGGTTACACACACACACACACGCCTCCCCGAAGGGAGGCATGTGTGGCCTCCATCCTGCCCGGAAAGGAGGTGGGCACATGTGCGCGCAAAAGGGACAGATGAAAATGAAAAGGACGAGACAGACAAAGGTGTGTGTGGTTGCCGATGAAAAGGAACCAAGTGAAGAGGGACAACCGATGAGCCAAACCTCATTGTAACGAACCTGGGCCACCTAAACCTCGCTGTAAGTAGAGTACGCGTGCGTGTATGTGTACAAACTGAGGTCCGGACGATAGTGTGCGCAAGAGAAAGAAAGGATGAGGATGAAGAGACATGAAGACAGAAGGACATGAAAGAAAAAAAAGGAAAAAAACGTCTGTGGGGGCGGATGAAAGGGGAACCAAATGAAAGGGGACAAACCGATGACAGTCCATACCTCATTGAGAAACCTGTTGCAGAAGCCTAGTTTGCTTGTAAATACGCCACGCGCGAGGAAAGAGGGGGGAGGGGAGGAGAAAAAGAGAAGGAGGGAGAGGAGGCAAAGGTGTTCCCAGCTACGGCACAAGCATCCAAGGACACACCAAAAAGGAAGGGCTCCCAGCTATGACGAAAGCATCCAGGGACGCCCAAGAAAGAGGGTGAGGAGAGGAAAAAGGGAAGGAAAGAAAGAGAGACGGAGAGAAAGGGAGAGGAGAGAAAGGAAGGTGTTCCCAGCTACGAACAATCGTCCAGGGACACACCAAAGAAAGAAAGGGAAGATCCTGAGTATTATATACATTCAGGAAAACCCCAGAAAGCAAAGAGAGAAAGGGGGAGGGAAGGGGGAGGGAAGGGGGAGAAGGGGGGGCTAAGTTCTCCACACGTTCCAATGAACCTTGAACAAACTTCGGTCGCTGCGACCACGTGCGGCTTGCCCGAGGGCTGCCACCTCTGACCGCTGCGGTCACGTAAAGGCATGAGCCAACTTGGAATTCCAAAGATGAGACAAACATCCCACTTCTTGAGGCATAAGCCAGCTACTGTCCGCTGCGGACATCTGCATTCCCAGAGCCGGGGAACATGGACAAACCCCCGTTCGACGGGTCCACGGGAGGCACTCTGCGGGCTCATCCCGGGTTGGCACGAGGCCAAACACACTTGTGGATATGCATACGGAACGGAAAGCGGTGCCACACGCCGGCCTAGAGTTCCATTTCCTAAGAGTACCAGTAGGGAACCAGCGAATTCTGGGGGTCTTCAAACGGAGAAGTGGCCCAAAAAGGAAAGAAACGAACGACGATCGCGAGTCGAACAAGATGACGGCGGTCCGTGCACATCTGCAAAAAACGAACCAAAGCCATGTCTTGAGGTTCTGGGCTTAGCCTCGCGCCATTCCGTTTGAAAAAGGCAGGTACGTAGTTCTGGCGTCCCAGAACTATATCACTGTGCGACAGATGCGTCTTCGTTGGCTAGAGACATCTGAAGCACACTCCAGCCCCCTGCTGACTAAACAATTCGAAAGAATCCCTGTGACTACAAGGGTTACACACACTCTGACATTGGTTTTCAGTTAACTCAGTTCCCAGGTCAAAAATGGCGAAGTAACGGCAGGGTGAAAGGTCCGAAAAGTTGAAGGTGTTTGAACAAAGGCTGTTTCTCAAGTCTGCAGAGAGTCGGCGGTGGCGAAAACGAGCGGCGCAGCTGACGGCGGCAAAAGGAAAAAGTTTAAGGGGTAGGTATCATGAAGGACCATGAATCAAACAGATCAAATTGGACAGCGTGTTCAACAGTTGTAGCAGGTACGTTTGCAGCCCCCCCCCAGTGGCCTCTTCGTTGGCCATCCGCCACTGGGGAGGGGGATGGCCCCCTGCTGTGAAAAAGGTAGAAGTTGGCAGTGAACCCTTTGGCACAGGGGTTGACACACACAGGTCGCCGTAATCGGCGCTTTTTCTTTTCAAAAACCGGCTGCAAGCAGTTGGGTGGTGTCCTTTTGGGACGTAGAGCTGCACTAGCTCAGTGGCAGCAGCATCAGCGCTTGAAGGTGGAAAGGTGTATGTGCTGGTGCTTGTCGACATGCTTGAGGATGTGCTGGCGCTTGTTGACGTGCTTGAGGATGTGCTGGTGCTTGTCGACGTGCTTGAGGATGTGCTGGTGCTTGTTGACGTGCTTGAGGATGTGCTGGTGCTTGTTGACGTGCTGGAGGATGTGCTGGACTTTTGTGCTTGCGCTTGTTCTGCTTGTGCTTGATGTTAGCGAGAAACTGGAGGAGGTGGATGTGATGGTTGCTGTTGCGGATGTGC